TTCTGGGCTGAAGTGAAAGGGATGAGCAAGGAGATGGTGTGGGGTTAGATGAACGGAAACATGGTTTCATAGAGGATGTGGAGTCAGTCTGGGCTTGGAGGAGGAGACAAGGCCAGATGCACCGAAGCAAGACAAGGTCAGAAGCAGGAGGGCCCCCTCCCCGACCCAGGCAGGAAGGGGAAGCTTTGCATTTGCAGATCTTGGCGAGAAGAGGCAGGTGGGAACAGAGGCTGGGGTAAGATTGGATGTTTGAAGCATAATCAGGTTGTGACTGGCTGAGAAGGAGGGGCGGATGAGCTGGCAGTTGAGCTGGCAGTTAACCTGGCAGATGCTGGATTCCCGGGCAGGAGGGCATGGGGCGGATGGGGTCATGGGTCCCTGCAGCTCTACTATCTCACCCTCAGGAGATGGAGAACCCAGAGGGGAAGCTTCCAAATGTGCCCGAGAAGCTGAGCGAAGGGATGGATAAAAAATTGATGTGGGTCATAAATATTGCAAGAGAGGATGCACCAGACACAATTAAGGATAAAGTTCAGGGAGAAACCTGCTGCTGTGGAGGGGGAGGTTCTTTGGAGAGGAGGGGGTGGGGAGAGGGGAGGTTCCCATCGGGGCTCTGCAGTGTCCCTCCCAGGATCTGGGACTCCCAGGTCCTCAGAGATGCTGCTGCTGCTCAGCGACGCTCCCGATGGGACAGAACTGCAAGTGTCCACGTGGTGGAGGTCACAGGGACAGAGATGCTCCATCTGCCTCAGCCTCAGAGCTCCCTCTCTGGGTTCCTTTTGGCTCCCACAAGCGGAGATGCAGGTGAGCCCCAGAAAAGCTGAGGTCTCCGCTGGGCCCCCCGATCCTGGCTGACACTGGATAGTCTTCCTTTTCCACGAGCCCCCCCAGGCTCTTGCTCACGAGTCCTGTCCACGGGGACGGGGTGGTTCCACAAGTTTCTGTGGCCCTAAGTGTTCCCCTAGAGGTCAAGGTTCTGGGCTCCGAATCATCATTATTCTGTCTTCCTCTTTGGTCCACGGCACCTGGCGGAGCTGGTGCAGAGATTTAGGTGATGCATCTTCGTATCCTGATATCTGCTGGAGAGATTCCTTTGGAGAAGAGGCGCAGCCCGCAAAGGGAGGAGCCGGAGCCTTCATTGCTCATGGGCACACCCTGTCTATCTCACAGCTTCTCATCCCCTGTCTCTGGCAGTTCATTTCAGGAGCATGAGATGGGTGTGCAGTGTGAGGGGAATAGTTAAAAACAATTGAGGGAGGGATGAAAGTGAAGTGAAAGTGAAGGTCACTCAGTTGTCTGACTCTTTGTGACCTCATGGACTACACTGTCCATGGAATTCTCCAGGCCAGAATACTGGAGTGGGTAGCCTCTTCCTTCTCCAGGGCAGAACCCAGGGATCGAACCCAGGTCTCCCACATTGCAGGCAGATTCTTTAACCGTGAGCCACCAAGGTAGCCCAAGAATACTGGAGTGGGCAGCCTATCCCTTCTCCAGCAGATCTTCCCGACCCAGGAATTGAACGGGGGTCTCCTGCACTGCAGGCACATTCTTTACCCGCTGAACTCCCAGGGAAGCCGGAGATAGGGGTAGGGAGTGAGAAAGGTCGTGCTAGGGGATGTGCTCACAAATGTTTAACAACCAGCGCTAGGGGATGGGGGTGGGGGAGGGGAACCACCTTGACAGGTAATGTCTACTGACATCTGTGTGTCAACAGTAGGTACCATTGACCTACTCATGGTGACCCATGTCATGCCGCCAACAGAATGCCTGGCAGATAAGGCAGTTCCCCAAGATGTAGCAATAGACTTACCCAAACTGGCAGGCACATGGTGGGTGCCACTGTCTCCGGAAGCTTAGGAACTCGAATTACCATCACACCCTGTACCATCAGCCATAGGGAGGCTGGGCATCCTGTTCCTGCCCCTCAGGTGGTCAAAGGGCTGCCTTTCTCTGGCCCCACGGTAGGTCACCAAGGTATATACTGGACACTGGAAAATTAGGGGAGCTTCGGAGAGTTCCTCTGGGCTCACCAACTGCTGGTGGCCCCAGAGTCAGCTGTAGGAAGGAGGCAGGGGCAGGTGGGAACTCCTGTGATCATTTCAGAGACAGAGGGGTGGACCCTCTGGCAACTGGTCCAGCTCTCCCTGCCTACCAGGGTTGTTGATGGCAGCACCTCCCAGTGGTAGGAAGGTTTCTGACAGCCCTGCCAGCTCTCTTAAGTCTGTGGTGATGACAGCTACCATCTACCCAGCTCAGGTACTGTGCTGGCTGGGCTTCCCAGGTGGTACTAGTGGTAAAGAACCCACCTGCCAATGCAAGAGATGTAAGAGACTCGGGTTTGATACCTGGTTCTGAAAGATCCCCTGGAGGAGAGCACGGCAACCCACTCCAGTATTCTCGCCTGGAGAATCCCATGGACAGAGGAGCCTGGTGGGCTACAGTCCGTGGGGTCGCAAGGAAGTGACTGAAGCAATCTATCATGCATTCACTGTGCTGGTTTCTGTGTAGACCTCATCTCGGTCAGTCTCCACATCCACCCTCGGGGGAAAGCGGGATCTTGATCCCCACTTTACACACAGAAACCAACCTTGGATTAAATAAGGTGCCCAAGGTTATAAACCTGCTAAGTAGCAGAGCTGGTTCTCTTCCTCTGGAACTCGCCTTCCCAGCCCAACACATATCATTAAGTACAAGATCCTTTATGGAGCTCTAGACACATCCTCTGCCAATTCCTAGGTTTTGCTCTCTGCCGCAGAAACTTACAGACCTCAACAAACTGGCCCCCGAGGCCAGGTTGCCATGTTCAACCTGCCCAAGGTCACCAGGCTCCTCTGTCCATGGGATTCTTCAGTCAAGAATACTGGAGTGGGTTACCATGTCCTCCTCCAGGGGATCTTCCCCACCCAGGATCCATCTCCAGCCCCGCCATAGTCAGCGAGAAGTGTAGACCCCAAGGATGGGAACAATGTCACGTAATGTCATCCCTTGATATCGGAACAATTTTTTTGGTCAGTTGCTCAGTCATGTTGGACTCTTTGTGACCCCATGGACTGCAGCATGCCAGCCTTCCTTGTCTTCTGCTATCTCCCAGAGTTTGCTCAAACTCATGTCTATTGAGTTGATGAATTTTGCCAAAGACAGAGGAGCTCTGCCTCTGGGAAAGGAAGCTGCTCTCAGGAGCAGCTGGCTTCAGCAGAGGGGGTTCGAGACACGTTCTAGAAGGCTGCTGGGAAGACATGGATGCACAGGGTAACTGATGCACAATAAGCCGCAGTCTCCTGAGCTGTAAGACGTGTCACAATGGTAGAAGATATTAACAACTGAGGAAGAAACAGTTGGCTGTAAGCAGAGCCCACTGAAGCATGTCAGGGTGTCCCCACTAACTGGTGGAAAACACAATTTCAAGTAGCCAATACTGATTATGTAAACAGAAGTCTCTATATCCTGGAGAAGGCGACTTCATTGAGCTCTCCTTGCTTGATGGACACATCCCATGAGTTCCGAGGCAGTGAGGCATAATCTGGTACCCCCTCATCTTTCTAGCATGCTCCCCTCCACCGCGTCTGCCAGAGTACTCATTTCCCATCCTCCGTTCCCATCCTCTTTGCTCCCTCACTGTTCTCCTTGGAATGACCATCCCCACCCCCTTGGATACAAACTACCTTTCCTGCAAGAGGAACTACATATCCTGCAAGAGGCAGCTGCAAGCCTGAACAAGCTGGCTCCCCTCTGGGTTCAGATTCCCTCTCCACTGGCTCCACCCCCTACTGGAAAGATCTCTCCCTCCCCTGTATTTCCCTAGCAGGTTTTCTGTATCTTTTTAAATAGTATCACCTTCTCATCAGTATCACATTTATATGTAAGGAAGCTTCTTGAGGGCACAACCCACATAGTTTATGACTGCACCCACCATGTGTCTGGCTTGGTGCCTGGCATGTAAGAAGGACTCAGAAGAAGTGTACTGGGTAAGATTTTAAGTTTTATTTTGGGGGTGAGCCTTCCTACCCAAATTTAAACCCAGGTCATGACCTGAACTGATGATTCTTCTGGACTTGCCTCTCCCACAATGAGGGTTACCTGTCAGCCCTTTGTGAATTCAATGATTACACATTCATTCCCAAGTACATGCTCATCCTTAGATGAGCCAATAAAATCTAATGTATTAATCTGTAAAACTGAGACCCAGACAGACCATGACCCTTGGTGACCCTACCACATAAAAACACACTGCAAGGACAGCCCAAAACAGAATCATGTTCCTGGCTAACCTTCCAAGCATCTATCTTCTATAAAACTTCTGCATTAGATGCAAGAACCTCAAGTAGATGAGGAAAGTCCACGGTAATGCATTCAGTGCCACATTTCAAATTGATTAAGCGCAGAGTCTAGCCATGTAGGGGATCCCAGACATTTAAATGCGGAGTTGCATTGAATTTCAAGTACCTTTCCCTGGTCTGCCTAATAAAAATTGCCTCTGTTGGCTTTAATTTCCAGTCCAATGAGTACCAGGGAAGGAGAAGGCTGAGTATTCAAAGTTACAAAGCAGAATCAGAGTACCTGCCATTTAACAGAGGGAAACGCATCGTGTCCAGTGCAGAGAGGAAAAGGAACCCTGGGCTTCTCATTAAGGTGCCTGAGGATTGAAGGGTGATGGGAAAACTCCAGGATGAAGGGAGGGAAGTGAATTGCCTGCCTGTGCCCAGCAAGCACCGTAGCCCCAGAACACCTCCATCAGCGAGCCCAGCGGGACCACCAGCTCTAAGTCTGTGCCTTCCCCAACCTCCAGAACACACAGCCCTGAAGCTCAGCACCCCCGAGATTGTATTTACCTGCAGATCAGCTGATCACTGCAGTGCCTGGAGGGGAGATACTCACCCCACCTCTTCCTGGACTTGAGATTGAATTTGAGCCTCAGGATGAGGAAGCAGGCTGCAGATTCTCAGTCCCTCTCTCCTCATCCCACCCTGCAAGTCACCTGCAGCTTGGTGGACGTGGCTCACACTAGCTGATGGCTTCAGCATCAGTCCTCCTCCGCAGCCCAGCAAACCATCACGGATGTAGCTACTCGAGGCAACACACATCTCTTATCTCTCGGTCCCTGTGGGTCCTCAACCCAGCATCTCCCAGGCTGCAGTCAACGTGTCAGCTGGGTTTGTGAATCCATAGATAGAGAAGCCGGGCGTCCAAGCAAACATGCTGCCAACGAGCTCTGATGTCTTCCCTAGTTTTGAGGAGACCCCTCTTGGTGTGACCAGCTCCCCACCCTGCCCCTCCAAGACCAGAGACAGCAACAAGAGCTGCCGTCACCGACTGGACCTGCCGGACTAGGCTGGGAGGGCTTCTGTGTTACTTTATTTGGTTTCTTTCATCCTAAAAATGGTCACGTGAGGTCAGAACTCTTTTTCTCCACCTTTATCAGATGAGTAAACAGGCCTAGAAGGCTTAAGTGTTTGGCCTAGGTGGGCCCGCAGCCCCTACCGCCTTCTCATTTCGCCGTCCACCCCGCCCTCCACACCTCCTCCTCCCCATCTGCAGTCCTCTCCTAAGCTTTACATTCACATGATCGCTGCCTGATGAATGCCGGTACCGCAGTCTCCCTGAGGGCCCAACGGCAGACTTCTAATCTGCTCACTCCAACAGGCCTTCTCCAGACTCAGCACCCTCTGTGGCTCTTCACTACTTGGTGACAAAGGCCGGCTTCCTTCTCAGGGAGCCTCGGACTGACTACAATCCCCATCAGACTTCGCAGCCTCTTCTTAACAGATAAATGGGCTCCAGGTTAGACATTTACAACTGGCCTCCCGCTTACATCTCATGGGGCTCCAAGAGGCAGGCTTCAGGCTGCATACTTACAGCTGTCAGCGTTTCCTGAGGCCAGAGACAGATGGGATCCAGTTAAGACATTTACAATCGGCCTCCTGTATGCCCTCCCAAATAGAAGTAACAACGGCAACAGGGTAAATAGCCAGCGATTCTCTCTTGGAAACGCTTAAGGTAATAGTCGTGGCAGCAGTCAAGGTAATACTCACCGCAAGGACAGAGATAGGCAAAGCCTTGTTTCACTAAAGGATTAAGGGATCTCTGCTCCCACCTCTTCTGGGACAAGGGAGAGATGGCACATACTCGGAAACGCTCCTTGTGGGGCAAAAGTCAAGAAATAACACCAGGTCATGATGAGTCTTGCTCCTCCCAGAAGCCTTCACTTCGAGACCCATCTTGGATGAGGGGTGCGGGTGCATCCAGGGGAGGGTCCCAGGGTAGATCAGGCGTGGAAAAAGAAAGCAGATAACTGGCCTGAAGGAAGACAAAGACCGGGAAACACTGACCATACAAATGACTTAATCACCTCTTTACTGCACTCCTCCTTCCTAGGCAGGACACCCACACCCCCTTTATCTCCTTGTTTCTGTCTTAACTAAACAAGCCATTTTTCCGTGGGCTTTCCCACCTGTTGTTGTGCTATGTCTCTGGCAATAAACTTTGTGCCTGCATTTACAGTTTTCTGCCTCTGTGATAAATGCATTCCCCCCCACCCCCACCCCCACCCCCGCCCACTGGGGACAAAGATCCAGGGAAAAATAGCTTCTAGCCTCTAGCCCTGGCTGGTCTGGTGGCTGGGATTTCTGGTTCTCATGCAGGCTATTCAGGTTCAGTTCCCGGGCAGGGAATTAAGATCTCACTTCATGCCACTGCTCTCTGCTGCCTTGCCGAGATCGTTCTCACCTCTCCCCACGTGGTCCCTGCAGACACCCTGACTCTTCACTGTTCCATGAACGCACCATGAATTTCATGCCTGAGTGTTTTGCACATGCTCCTTGTCTATAGAGAATACTCTGCACTCTCTCCCAGGCAGGTTCCTATTCAACCGTCAAAGCCCAGCTCAAATGCCCCCTTCTTTGGACAGTCTTCCCTAGTGATCCTCTAGTTCACTTGTTCCCACCTGTTTAGTAGCCCCCGACACTCACAAGTGTGTAACTGCCATCCACTCTCCGTTGGGAGCTCCTGGATGGTGGGGTCACTGCACTGCGCATCCTTGAATCTCCACTGCCCAGCCCTGGGCCTCATTATTGCTAACAGATATTTATAGGAAGTCCATTCAGAGTTTGCTCTGATACAACATTATATGTGATCTTGATGACGAGACTGGAGAAGAAGGGAAAATAAGTGTTGAAAGAAATGGGAAGATCGCTTCTCTTCTATTAGGGAATACCAGAAAAGATGGCGTGAGTACACCTATGAGTTTGCTGGGGTGCCGTAACAAAGTACCCAAGACTGAGCGTCTTAACAGCAGAGGTCTATTTGTTCCCAGTTCTGGGGGCTGGAATGTTGACAGGGCTGATTTCTGAAGCCTCTCTCCTTGGCTTCAGGAAGGCCGTCTTCTCCCTGTAAACACCAGGCTGATTGGATCAGGCCCCCTCACCCACCCCCCCCCACCCCGCCCCCTGGCTCTTGACCTTAGTTTAACTTATTAAAAATCACTTATTTAAAGGACCTATCTCTACGTACAGTCACATTCTGAGGTTCTAGGGGTTAGAGCTTCAACACATGAATTTGGGGGCAAGGACGCAATTCAGTTCATCATGACCCTGCCTGGCAGGGGGGAAGGTGATGACGGTCACTGGGTGGCCTTCAGACCACTCCCATATGCCACCTGTAGCCCTCACTGTCCCCACCCCACAGCCCTTGTATAATGCCTAAGGGTGCCCAGTGTGGGATGTGGCCTTAGCCATCAGCCTTCCACCAACATCCTCAGAAGGTCCATGTCTACCCAGCAGGTCTACAGGTATCTCAAGTTCTCACCATCTCACTTTGGATGTAGGGGGCTGCCAAGGGTGCCTCCCTGACTGTCCTCTCGCGGGAGTGCCCTCCCCTTGCCCATGACTTACAGATGGAAACCACCCCCCAGGCTCCCCGCCTCCTGTCTCCCCAAGCGCAGTCCTCTAGGTCATGTTGGCCCTTCTCTCTTCATTCTTCATTAAGGCTCCTCTTGTTCCCTAATCATTCCCCGGGTGTGGTCTTATCAATCCAGTAAAGCTGCCAACTCTTTGAAAGCTGCGTCTGGGTTTCACACGGTCATTCCTCACGGCCTCTGAGCACCGACCCCCATCAGTAGTGTCTGACTCTTTGTGAGCCCATGGACAGTAGCCACCAATTTCCTCTGTCCATGGGGATTCCCCACGGGCAAGAATACTGGAGTGGGTGGCCATGCCCTCCTCCAGGGGATCTTCCCGACCCAGGGATCGCACCTGTATCTCTAACGTCTCCTGCATTGGCAGGCGGGTTCTTTACCTGGGAAGCCCGACTCCCATCCTAGGCGCTTAATAAACACCAGCTAAAATGAACTGAGAGGCATGAAAAGGCTTCAGCTCCACTGACTCACTTTCTGGAATTAAAATCGAAACCGAAACTTTGGGAACAAAGGGTCAGCCAGCTTCGGATGTCCCCCTCCCCTCTCCTTGACAGGCTGAGATGGAGAGCCAGAGTAGGGGGTCTCAGGCATGTCTTACCAGGCAGCTGACCCTCTCCTCCAGGGCTCCAGACCAGCTTCTCTTGTCCTTCTGCCCTGTCCTCTCTGGTACCCATCTTATACACACTGCCCTGTGCTTCTGCTCCAGACACGGCTCCCCTACAGCTCAGCAGTGGTGACAGGGGCGTCTCGCTTCTCTGCAAGGGGGGCTCCCGGTCCCGTCTCATCGTCTGCTCTTCCCCGTTCTTCCCTGCGTCTCAGGCCATGCTTCACGCAAACAGTGACATTTCACAAAATAGGTATCTGAAGCCCTTGTCAGAAGCCGAGTCCCTTGAAAAATGTGTTCTCTTATAAAATCAGTGAGAGAGCACTGCTCCTTGATTTTCCTCTTGGGGACTCCCCATCTAGACACACAGATTACAGGCTCTGAGAAGTCCTGCAAGAAAGACATCCATTTATCTTTCCTGAACTTGGCTTTCCCTAACTTTGTGATTACCCTCCACACAGACCCTTCATCGCTCCCCTTCGCCACCACACACATGATGACTTCCAATAGCCCAGGGACTCGTGTGGGACTCATGGGCTCATGATTAGGGCAACAAGTGGAAAGAGGCTGATTGAGGAAAGAGGAGGGACCAGGAGAGATGCTGCGACAGCATTAGCTTCACTACCACCACCACCATCAATAGCAACAGCACTGATAGCAGCATCCCAGCATCGGCATCATCCCAGCCATCACTATCATCAACAGCAGCAGCATCCTAACCATCATCACCACCACCACCAGCAGAAGCCGCAGTGGTGTGCCAGGACCCAGCCCATCGACCTGTCCTGGGGCTCCCAGTTCACTCTCTGAAATGGAAAGAAGCGAGACTCCCAGGTCACATGTCCCTGGGATGCAGCACGGTCACAGGCAGGAGAAGTGAGGTTTCTAAAGCAGCAAAAAGAGCAGGGCTGTCGGATTCGCCTCTGCCTCCCTCCAGTCCTCTGTCTTCGTGTCTGCCTGTCTCCTGCCCTCCCCACGGCACACCCGGGGCCGTTACCACTCTGCTCGGGGCTGAGTCAAGACCCTGAAGCCTCAGAGCTCGGCCCAGGGTCCACAGAACTGGGAAGGGAGCCCCGAGGCTGCAGTTAGGGTGCGCGGGGGCGGAGACAGAGCGCAGGCTGGAGGCTTTGGTATTCTGCTCAGAGAGGCTGTCGGGCCCCATATCAATAGATTGATATTCTTCTGATGAGATTTCTCCTTGAGGCCTCGGGGAAGAGTCTGAGAGGCAGAGAACAAGGGGAACCGCTTGAGCTTCAGATACTGCTGAGACCTGCTGCCTAGACCTGCTCCCGAACCGGCAGAGCTTGTGGGCTGTGGCTCCCTTGGGGGGAGATGGGGGGAGTCGGCCCTTCGGGGTGGGGAGCGGGAGGCCGGCCTGAGACCTGCTGCCCTGTCCCCCACCCCCTCCCCAGCCCCATCCTTCGGGCAGCCAGGCAGGCAGGAACATAAGCTCTGGCAGCTCTGGGTCAGCAGAGTCCAGTGGCTCCTCGGGCAGTCTTGGTCAGGGA